CAGTACAATGTTTACTTATCTGCACTCTTTGTGTTCGGTCGTTCATGTATGAATCTAACCAGCTTAATAAAGAGTTGCTGATCCCATAGGACTCAAGCACGGCAAATACTGATTTGTACAATACACAGTCAAACGATTTTTCATGTCCAGTAGGATGATGATGCTAGTCAGAATCTGAGTTGCATACCCTTTCACGATTCTTTCTAAGGCCTTAGCGGAGGCAGAAGTGTGGTTTATCGGCCGATAAATGGACATCCGATCTCGTGAACCACTTTCGTATGTCATCGTGATTATGCATTTTTCTATTAAGGCGAGAAGTAGCCAGTGTTAAGTGACAGTCTATAATGTTCCGCATGTTTTTGCCATCTAACCTTATAGGTAGTGAGGCAATACCATAAGGTACCGGTTAGAATGTCGGTTTGTTGGATGTGATAGTCATATGTGTCTTCTCCAGACTCAAAGGGCTGGTACAAGGTGCCTGTTCTACTTTTCATGTCATTCGAGTAATGGATGCAGCTGAAATAATAATGAACGAGGCAGCAAAGTAGGAATTAAATGCTCTAACTTTTTCAACTATATCATCCATCGCCGTGCCTTTGTTCAAAAGCAGAGTTGATATTTCCTGGTGTTGTTTCTATTATTTTTCATCTGAGTTATTGAAGCAGGGCACGAGTTTTCTCTGAGTTCCTGGTGGCTCGGGTTTCCTCGGAGCTGTACGCTATCGGGCGCATCCCCAGGTTGCGGATCGGGGAATGCCTTTCTTATGGAGGTAACTGAGAATAAGTCTCCTTTGCCTTGCAGGCGAGATAAATAAGCAGTTGCCATCAATCAGTTTCAGCGTCTCAGAGCGTGGGGAGTTCTGCGCTGGTCAACTGGTTCTCCATCAAATACCACAAGAGCTCGTAAGGTGTTGTGTCAAAACCAATGTGACCGGCTATGGAATCACTGACCATTCACTTCTGTACACAGAAGTGAATACCTAACGGAGGACAGATGAACAACCTTGCTGGCCACCGGCTTCTCTGTGAACTGCTAGTGAACACAGAGAAGGCGATTGAGCTACCCGGATGTCAGTGGTCTCCATTAATCGTCCCGCTGCCTTACGGGTCGATCTTTATGACCAAAGACTCGAGATGAAGTCCCTTAACTCAACCCTCTTCCTCGGCCCGAGCAACCTGGAAGATCTCTGCCCACACGACAGATTAACCTTCCAAAACCCTTCAACAGTCTCTCTGTTTTCCCCTTTTTTGTTGTTGTCGGTAACTATGGGTTGTCGCACTGTCAATTGTATATTGGGCATATGCTGAATAATAATATGTATAAAGTAAGGTTTCGTGTATTTGAATTATTGTGGTGATGCCGTTGTTTTTGCAGTGCAGTCTGTCAAATTTTTGAACTGGGATGCGACCTTAGACGGATGTTTGTATCGGCAGTCGAAAGGATCTGTGTTAACCTTTAACAAAGCTGTGATATTATCTGTACATGTGATGTAATTTTTTACGAACTCGTCTGCGGCTACGTCCGATTAAGTCGTAGGTAATAATCGCTCCTAACACGTGGTCCTAAGCGGCTTGTCAAGTGGGCCCCGATCAATAAGATCCAGATGCTTTGAACTCCTCAGATGACATAAAATTCATGCTGCAGTGTTGTGTCACAGAAACGCAGATGTAACTGACATATATTGTAAGGGGTAAAGGTCGAAGACACGATCGCTGAGAACGTGACGGGAATAATCTTACAAGTCATCCAATCGATCAGTCAGTATTGAGCGACGTTCAACCAGTCAGGGTAAGCTCAGTATAGCGAATCACAGCACCACATACCTCTTCGGAAAATTTGTTTCATGCAGGTTGGTATCTATCCCCTGTCTTTGAAGTCTGTTTTGACCTACGCAGTTCACGCGAAGGTGGAGCAGGATCTGTCTGACTTTATTCGTATCTTGGCTGAGCTGGGAGGCCGGTCCAGTTGCTCTGTAAAGATGACGGGATTTGACAGTCAAACCATTTTCCAATCGGTTCGTGTCAGGCCGACTGGCAACTGTGATTCACATCCATACCGACAGAAATGGGGAACCTTTTAAAGTACTTCGATTTCGATCCGAACAGAGGATCCCAAGTACAGTGAAATCGATGGTCTCGAGTAGAATTGTTGGTAAGTTGCTAGGTGATTCGGAACTTCTGGATCTGTACAACAGAACATATTGTGTGCAGCATTGAATTTTGTGCGTAACAACCTTTCAAGCATTAGTACCGCCACGGCTTTTCCTTCATGTTATGGTTCAGTCGTCGCAACCAAAGCGGCTCGAGTTTAAGCCGCTGATAATACTCCTGATAGGTGGATGATTTACTGAACAAACGTTTAGTGAATACTGCAGGTTTCTCAGAGCTTTCCTATCACCCATACGCATTGTTCTCATAAATGATACTGCAGTATTCAAGAACAGGAGGTGTGAGCATTTTAAAAGGCTTGATTCTGGCAGGGATTATATGGATAATATGACAGATTTAAGCCATATGTCATTTAGAGTGTTCCATTTGATCCTCAGCTTCCTCTGAGAACTTGTAGTCTGAAGAGTATCGTATGCCTAGATCACAATTAGACAGTTTCACACAAATGCGTTCATTGTTCAAATTAACTGACTCCTCAAGGATCGAACATCCGTGTGACATAGTAGGTCATCTTGCCATTCTGACCGCAGGATCGGTACCAACATCATATGCATAAGTTTAACAGCACATAGTCTTCCTCAACTGAATTAATGAGCGTTTCACATATCTTGGTGGCGGATGTTTAAGTGTTATTGGCTGCTGGGCATTTCCACATTGTTTTGGGGACGCGGCAGTTTGTGATAGCATCTATTTCAACTTGGGACCTGGGGAAGTTGTGATATTCTATCAGAGGTGGTGCATTCGAATTGCCAATATTCTTAAGTTCACACTACGCAGTTTCCTTCTTAATTGATGCCACATAGAGTACGGGCTTGCTGCCTGTGGAATGGAAACATGAGATGGCAGTACTTTCTGCTGGATTTGCGATAGCAGTTACGTTGTGTATGTGCCCAATATCTTCTGGCCAAATCCGGTTATCAGTATCGTTCAATGATACCTCGTGTGTGGATTGGTGGACTCGGTGAGGGCGGGTATTTTTAGACAGGGACGGTGTTATTGATCTGTCAACGTTCATATTATTGTCGATATGACTGGTGTAAGATTGAGAAATCAGAATATAGTTGAAAGGGTTGAAAGGGGAGTTGAAAGGTATAGGTAGACATTCGTCACATCTAGACTCATTCAGACAGCCATCACACGCCCGGAAAAGCACTGTATGCGCGTTTCATCCTTTCGAGTACCGTCAGCAGTGCGCATCCCATCGGACCCTGGTAGGGATCGAACCCGCAACCCGACTGTTGCCAGTCCGTGCTAGAGACCACTGTGCTACGGGGACGGCAACGACCATCATAAATAAGCTACTAGATGTAATATAGCGCCGCTCCCATCCCCTGATTTACACGTTACTGCCGTGCAGAGGACAGGGTAGCCCCCTCACCAAGCGACAACCAAGCGACGTGGATTGGTGGACTCAATGCTGCCGAATATTGTTTTATATGGGCGGTGCGGGTGATCTGTCGAAATTCACATTGCTGTTGATACATTTGGTATGATTGTGAGAAATTTGAGTTTCTTGGTGCTTCCTGCTTATTAAAAACTTTTTGAAGAAGAAGATCGGTCAACAAACTTCACAGTCTGACCTTTACTAGCAATTAGGATAAAAATATTCATTCAGTTATTTTTAAACATAAGATCCCTGAACTTTAGCACATATTATCCATCAATGTCCCAGTGACATAACGCGCTTGTTGTAGCCTTTTAAATCTTGCTTCTGTAGCCGCACCTCCTCAGCTGGATTGACGTCAGAAGCACAATCAACTTTTATGCCACGAAGGTAATTCTTCAGACGAGAAAACCACAAAATTAAAAGCCACAGGGTGCAGCACGTGCAGAATAACGTGAATGTTCAACTAACCTACGACATGCTAACGCGAGAGTTGTGACTGCGAAAGTTGTTTTAAAAAGTCAGCATGTCTTTTCTTGACTTGCCCCACCTCCTTAAAACAATGACCTTCCCAAGTTGTTGAATTAAGTCTGCACAATAGTGACCCATTATGATGGAACCTTGACCAAGATTATCAATCAAAAGCACTTCTCGGCATCTCCGCAAATGGAGACAATGGCTTACTAGGCGAAGGTGTCAAGCATAATTAATTGAATGGGGGAGAATTGATGTGTTTGCACACTATACCTTACTTTTTGGTTTCAGGATCAAGGTGATGAAATCAATTTTCACCCCTATTCCCCATACATGGTCAGACGTTTAGCGCCTCTTCTTGAACGAAACTCTGACTAACATGTCACTTTGCAACGTGATCTGCTCGTCTGCTGGGCTGTTAACATTCGTAGCGCACCGAAGTTTCATAGCATCAAATTATCCTTCAAAACCGAATGCACACTGCCAGTTGAAGTACCCACAGACTGCTATGGTTTTCATCGTTTTCCTTCTGTACAGCTTATTACTCTTTGTGCCCTATGAGCGTTTTCGCAGGTCAGCGACATTGATGGCCGTGCACGATTGTTATCATTTTCGCACCACTCCTTATCTCATTTAAGTTCGCGATATCACTTGACAACTGTTGGATAGGAATGAATATGGTCTTTCCACGTCACTGGTATCACCTTATGAATTTTTTGTGGATCCATTGATTTCAGGATCGAATACTTCACAACCGCTTTTTTCTCAAATTGGTTACTTTCCTCCATTTTCAACAGTGACATCAAAAGTGATCTATAAAATACCTGAAAGGATTATTTTATTTGCTTAAGATTTTACGCATGATGTCACAATGAATCAAATCAACGAGGTATTCAAACTTGTACGCAAAATTAAGTCAGTTTATGAACTTTTGGAAAGCACTCATACTCGCAACCCATTTTTTTTGAATGCAGCTGTCCTTCTCTGGATATTCTCACAAACTTGGCCTACTCATTCGCAACGTCGTGGACTCCATGATCCACTTCCTGATCCCGGGATTAGACCGATTTCGGTGTTTGAAAGAGGAAGTATCACGTGAGATCACCAACTTTGGTGCGAAGCCCGCGTACCAACAAACCGGGATTTATCTCACCAACTTGATCACCGATCGCTCATGGATTAACGAAGAGTTGGCAGAAGCTTTTCCTGGTAGGTCCTTCTGCAGTGACTTGATTCGGCTCCAATTCCACATAACTACCCATTGTGGTGGCATGTAGGTTCTCACATGGCACTCATTCCGTTTTTTATTCCTCACTTCCGACTGTCACCACCACATTCTGTGTATCTAGACTAAGTGGCTCGAACCTTAATCTTTCTGGTTTTAGACCATTCTATTTATTTAAGTATCTTTAATTACCCTTTCACACTGTGTTCGGCTACGAGCATTCGTATTAAAAATGAGTTAGAAAACGAAAGCCCAACAAGTTTTATATTTGAAAAGAGTCAAACACAAAATGACTGTTATTGTAACGTGCTCCTCCCAGCAGATCACAAGCTACGTAACACAATCCCATCCGGAAAACCACCAGACACATTTCGCCATATCGGCGCTCGTCAGTGGTGCACATTCCCTTGGTCCCCTAAGGGGGATCGAACCCATGACTTTCAGAGACATATGCCAACTAGCCAACAGCTTAAGCCACTAAGCCATAGGTGACGTCGGCTGAGCTACATAATTTGCAAGCTGACTGTTATATAGAACGATTTATCTTCCACTGCCATGCAGGTTGCTACCCTTGTTGATGACAATGACCATACTCCAGGTCATGACTCCCTCTCACTAGACCCTAAATCCACAGCATTTGAAATTAGGAGGGGCTACATTTTATATAACCAATGAGTCGAAAAATGTGCAAATAAACTAAAAATGAGTGTATCTAAAAACGTGACTATTGTCGGTTCAAATGTGCCCACCTTTCGTTACCTACTTTATGGCACAGGACACATCATGTAATGTACAATGAACATTGAACAACGATTTATTTTGGGCGAAACTGCGATTACTTGACGAGATCCGAGGGACGACCGCAGTGGGAATTCTAAGATAATGGTTTTAAGTGATATGAAAAAGGAACATTCTAGTTTAAGGTGACTCATCGAGTTATGCGCATGAACCCATATGCTGGTCTCCTCACCGCTACATAGTGGGTAGGAATGTTGAGCACACTGTTTGCTTTAATTCGTTTTCCGATGGAAACGGACTATGTCACGTAACCTAAATTGTTTAGAGAGTATTTCCATCGTCTTTTAAGCGTTAATGTGAGGCCGGAAATAAGGTGAAATGGTTGAGCGTTTCAGGTTCTGGATTCCATTTTTCGGCAATCAAGTCGAATGTGATATGTGACCAGTTTGAGCTCTTGGCTCCTCAGATTGGTATTGTTGTCGACTTGTGACAGATCGCACCAGGCGTGATTGTGGTTAGCCAGTAGTTGGTACACCATAGTAAGGTCTCATTGCACGCGCCGATGTTCGATGCTGTTCAAGTCTTGTGATTGTATTCTGCATTGGTATAGGAGGTAAAGCACTCTTCTAATGATTTTCGTCGCCCTAAGTTGTTGCGTTTCAGGCGCATCAGTGTCGGGTTTGCACTAAGTTGGTCAAGCTTCGATCGCGTATTCCACGTAGGACCTCACACAGGCGTTCAACATTTGAGGAAACTTTGACTGCTCGAACTTCCGGAACGCTCTTCGTAGGAGGCCAAAATGTTGCCTGGCTTCTCCCGATACCTTTTTCAGCATGCTGCATGCAGCCAAGGTCGTCCTGCACGATTACACCGAGGTAAATTCCCGCGTAGCATGTTGCCTCTGTTACTCTGCGAGTCATGACTACATGGATGTTGTAAGCTCAGAATTTTGCATTTCGCCAAGTTTAAGTGGAGTCTGTTTTCGTACAACAGTGTGTAGGCCCTGTCGAGAGCTCTTTGTAGTGATGGATGGTCATCCATTGTCTTGATGTCTTGCCATGTCATTGTCTGAGAATGGTACGAACTCCGACTGAAACGCAGTATGCACGGGAAACAAGGACTTTACACGGGTTAAGAAGCACTGCTTTACAAGTCCAGTTAGGTGGTCTGGTGGGTTATCGAAAATCGATAAGGAAAAAAATGCAGTTAATATTTATACTGTCAAAATTGGACTTATATTATTTACTGAAGTAAGTTTGCACTCCGAGTATTTCCACAGCTTCAGTAGGACTAAATAAATCCCAGTAACGATGCTTGGGGCACAACACACTGGACTTTAATGGAACAATGGCTGGTAGCAGGTAAAAAAGCAAGGCTTAACATGTCCCTTAGGTTGACAATAGAAGAAAATGAAATTCAAATATTACACAAATGGACCAAATAAAATACACATTGGTGAAGCGATAGAGTAGTGACTTCTAAAAGGTGGGTTGTGGGGGTGGGATATTGCTGGGCAAAACAAAATAACAGGCGGTTATGGTTAACAGGCACTGCAACCAAAAAGTAGATTGCTCACTCTTAGGCACAGGTTTACATGCGCCACTGGATTTCATAATTCCAAAGTGGCTAGTTAGCCTGTAGATATCCAAAAGCTCCGTTCATGTAACAAATTATAGGGTGTTCAATACGATATTCAATCGTGTTTTGAAAATTGCTAAGGTGGGGGCACCGACAACTGAGTTTGGAAGGACGTTCCAAGGTTGGCATACCCGGGGGAGCAAAACCTTCGTCGGCTGCTGTATTCTTGATTCAGTTTCAAGCCATTGCTTCTAAGGTTGCTGTAGGTGGCGGTATACGTGCGTGGGTTCGCTCAGTATCTGGTGGACAAATATGAGATCTCCATGTAGCTGCCTGTAGCGTTCATTGAACAGTCCTAATGTCTTCAGTCGTTGCCGGTAGGGAAGGTGGCGCAATCCCTTGAAAAATCTTGTTGCTTGACATTGTGGAGTTTCCAGCGCTGCAAGATCGCGCTTTAGCCAAGGTTGCCCAGTCCGGATTGCGTAATTGACGTGGGGGCGCACGTGGATATTGAGCATCAGAGAGACGAATGAATGCAAACTCCCGAACGCCCTCCACATGAGACCAACAAGCTGGTTACCACTTTTTGCACTGGACTTTGGCTGTCTGGAACAACCCAGGTTGCCCTGTATCAGCACACCGAGGTCACGTTCCTGAGCGCTTGTCTGCAGATCGTGCTTCCCTAGCTTGTAGATGTTGGCGTGTCGGTGGCGGATGTGGCCAATGCGGCACTTGTCCACCTTGAATGACAGTACGTTCCGCACCGACCAAAGCCAGGCCACATCGAGGTCGCGTTGGAGGATCTCGTGGTCGTCCACACTCTTGAGTATCCGCCAAGGCACAACGTGGTCTGCGGTGTAACATTTTGGGGTTTTATCTCTAGCTCTACTGAAAACTAAGAACATACGACGCCCAAATGCCGAAACCTGCGATACGCCGCACTCCACGCGAGTAGGGTCTGAAAGAGATGTTTAGACTATAACCTCCAGTTGCCGTTGGCTGCTAAAGTTAAAAAGGATCCCAATACTGGATCTCCGATACCCTAGTGCTGAAGTTGATAAAGCAGGATTCCATAATCCAAGCGATCGAAGACTTTCGAATAGTACAACTAGATAACATCGGTTCCTGTTTCCTCGTCGACTGTTTCGGTCCAATCGTCACTTGAAATCAGCAAATTCGTGGTATATGAACGATGTTGACGAAATCCGTGCTGCTCCGGCGCACGGCGGCCGTAGATTTCCAGGTAGCCCATCAGTGCGTCTACGATGATCGCTTCCATCGCTTTGAGGAGAACAGGGAGAAGCGTTACTGGGCAGTAATTGGCAACGTTAGATCGATTTATTCCCTTGTAAATGTGGGTTATAATACCCCGTTTACACTTCGACAGATATGGAATTGCATACTATCACATCCAGCTGACGTTGAATGAGGAAGTTACTTACCTCACCGAGAACAGGGTCACGGAGTCAATAGCTTTAAACGTTGTAAAGAAGAATGCGGTGGTCTAGCCGATGGAATGCTTTGGAGAAGCCTAAGTTCAACTCATTTGGGCTAACAACCAGTTTGTGATGCAGGACCGATTTCAGCGGAATCCACGCTGTTGGGACACTATGATGTTGTTATTCTCAAGGTATCCCATGAATGACTCTGTGATAGTACCTTCCTTGGCTTTGTATAACACTGGGAGGAGCGTGATCGGACGGTATTTCGAGGGCCTTGCACGATTCTTACTCCTCCAAATAAGAATGACTTTACCCACTTTTTACCTCGCGGTAACCTGCATTTCATCGAAATTTCGTTGCAAGAACCGCGCTGAAGGTTCGACGAGGTTCATAGCTGCGGTTTTTAATGCCTTCGGTCTAACGTTGTCCACACCAGTAGAGCTGTGCAAACGCTCATGGACTTTCCTCTTTTCATCATGTTTAATGCCGTGAAAAATACGTGCCTTAATCCTGTAAGCGGAGTGACATGTGCTAAGAACGTGTGGAAAGTGTGGGTAAAGTGTTACCAAAGCTTGCTGGCCGCATCTTCCAACAAGAGGATGTGACTGTAGGACCGTGGCAGGATTCGCTTCATAGCAGACGTCAGGCAGTATTCCATTTCCAAGGTGGACCTTGGGAGGCGATAAATTATTGCGAATAAACCCACATAACCACGTTTCAGGTTGAGATGTCACCAGAGAGCATCGGTAACTCGCGTATCTGGATCGTTGATGATATCAATATGCGGGTCAGATCGGTAATACAAGAGTACTCCGCCTCCTCTGCTAGGTCGATCGTTAGCCAGCGCATCATGCCGGGAAGGGCTATCTCGACATCAGCCATCTCAGTATTCAGCCATGTTTCAGTTGTCATAACTATGTCCCAAAGAGTGGAAGCGTAACGAATAAGAAGCTCTGTCAACTTACTGAGAATAAGCGCTGGTATGCAAGCTGATGAGGGCCTCAGAGATTAAATGTATATTTGTGGATGCGAGTTCTGGGTGAGGATCTATAGCGAACCTTGTTGGCTTGGCCGTCGGTAGTTTTCTGTTGTTGTACTGTACTCGCAGGCCCCGGGGCCATTTCGGATTGGCATGTAGACTTCCCAGCTTCAGTATGTGGCTGAAAACCTTGAGCTCGTTCAGCCAATCGAGAGCTTCGACTACATATCGCTTCTGAGCAGCATGCTGACGGGGTCGCACAACAGGGCTGCATGTTCAAAGTTATCTCTTCGATTTGTGACCGGGTGCCTATCGACCTTATACGTATTGCACATAGCAGCTTTTTACGCATTCTAGCATATTTTGATCACTTTCTCTGCCAAAGTTAAACAGTGGCCTCTCACGTCGGTGACACATTCCACTGAGGTCCGTATGCATCCGATTCACCATGAAGATCACCCCGCAGACAACGATATAGTCCTCTGTAAGATCTTTCTCAGATAGCACACACTTTTTGTTTCAACGTTAGCCGTTGAAATATTTTTAGGTGAGGGTAGGGATGGTAGGCAAAAACTTTCCTTTTGGGACGGAGAAAAGACGTGCATCTCCGCTTCAGACACACTGCGTTTCGACCAGTGAAAACGCACCTTGAATTCGAGCCTCACCCTACCGTACCGCTACTTTGCAGTTCGCATACTATTCCTCCTCGCCAGCTTTCTCGCACAAGGGAGGGGCTGAGTATTCGCCATGTATTTGAGCCTTAGATGCTCACAATGACAGCAGACTCAGTTGATCCATCTCGACGACTGTGTTGACGATCTCCATTTGCTAAACATTCACCCGTCTCACGTGTGTAAAAGCGCATTCTTGACTTGACTTGCTCTTCGTATAGAATGATGTGGCCTGCAGTAGAAGTTGTAGTAAGATATTCAAATGCCGCAAACGGTATGTTTTTGCTATCAATGATGAAGGAGGTTGAGAAGAGAAGCCCATGAAAGGTCACTGTAAGTAGCTGCTCTCGGGATTCTGATACAAAGTGGAACGATGGTCATCGCCACAAGTGAACCCATGAAAGAAAGTGGAACCTCAGCTAAACAACCCAAATTATCGCATCCTCAATTTGTAAACGTTAGTTGGCAAAGGAACGCCAAGCAAAATACACAAGGATAAAAGGATCGATTTGGTCAAGTTTTGTGAGAGAATGTGTGCTCTCAAAATCCCATGTTACCTCCACATAGCTTCGTTTACATTCACAACGACGCTATTATAGTAGGGCTTGAAGCACGGATTGTCCAGTGTCTAATTGTCTAATTTCACTTCATAATGCATTCTCAAAAATTGCAAGATCTTTTTATCGGGGCCACCAGAGCTGGACCAGATCTGAAATACGTATTTAATCTTGGAAGTCACGTAGGCATTAGTCGTTTGTAAATGCTAATATGGTGGAACCGCCCAAGTGCTATCCGCGAAAGGCCTTGGTATTGGGTTTCGGATAGCTTTCCGACAGGGCTTTACTTAAGTGGAACCTGATTCCTTTCACCATTCTCGTTCATCCTTCTCGCTGTTATTCCCGTTTACCGCAGCCTCAAGATCACTCTAATTTCGCCATACATATAGTATCCGAATGCAGTTTGGATGTCAAACAATGCACGGGTTGTTAACGCGTTCTTGGGTGTGCCGTCTATGGCGATTAGACTCGTTACACAATCAAACCACAATCCAGACGTATTTTTCCATTTTTTCATCCATGCTATCAAACCTAGGCTGACAGTATAAATTTGAACTTTTTCCTTTTATTCAAACGAGATCAATAAAACGAATAATCCTGGCTGACAAAATTGTTGAACCAAGTCGAACCAGGAAGGGTCGCCTAGAAATTCTCTTGTTACACAACTTGAGTTAAGTCGATCGTGACTAGGCTAACTCCCTTGCACTAGGATGCCCAACCCTTAAAAGTTTGTGTGTGTCATGGATCAGCGAAAGCACCAACAATTGAGTTATTCCTCAAAACTGTCAGCCGGTGACCGACAAGATTGCACACCTGGCTTGCAACCATAAGGTCACCGGTTCGAATCCGCGTAGGGCAGGTGTCCTCATGGTATACTCAGTCCACGAGCAACCGGTGGCCGTCACGTGGCTGAAAAGCGTCGGTACAGTGTGCCGGCGTATTGCTGGTGACATTTTTCTCTTTTTTCCTCCACTCCTTATAACCATCCGTAGTAAAAGTGAAGTGGGATACAATTTTGAATAAATTAGTTGGTTTCTAGCAAACTGCGTCTAATGTTCCTTGATTCATTTCCACTACAGGACAAGTTACTTAGTTCGACCTGGTTCAATCTCGTTTTGCTATTCGGCCTTGTTCACAGCTGAGGGTTTGTTCCACACATCAACCTATGGTTTTCCTTGTTTCACTTCTCAGCCCCACATCAACAGAGCAAAACTTGATGCCACAGTGGGCTAGGGTGCTACTGTTGGGTTCCCCTGTTCCTTCTTGAAGCAAGTTATGCTCCACCAACCACTTTTCTCTTCTTTTCCAGAAGTAACCTACGAGCTACTAACAGGTTTTATCCCAGAATTCTTCTCACAACTATTCATCGAAATCCTGGCATACGGTAACGTTACTTTAGAGGTAATTTGTTTTTACATTTCCCTCACATTTACCCAAGCTTATCCATTACTATATTCAGTTATCGTTGATAATGGGCATGCCTGTCTGCTCTAGCCTATTGGTGTCGGTGAGTACGTTGGTGGATGTATCGTTGCTGACATCCAAATCCGGATTTTTCTGTCATTGTGGCCTCCACGGAGACAGCCACAGGACGCCTGCGTATACAGAGGGACCATGGGGGGATTTGCGCTGCACCATCCACAACTTCATCCACACACCCAATGTCCATGTAAACCCGAAGAAATAAGACCGGGAGTGATGTGGATAGGAGCCAGGTTTCATCGGAACCGGTCCACATTCCTTCAAAGTGCACTGCAGCAGCTTTCCTCTCTATCCACTTTGAGAATCATGTGTATCAGACGCAGCCGTAGCCACTGTGCAGACATTCAATTAGACTTACAACCCCACTCAGGCAACCCAACTCACACAACACCAGCCAAAGTGCCTCGCGGTTCACCTTGTCAAATACTTCGGTGAAGTCGATAAACAACGAATACATTCGCTGGTGTCCTTCACGGTATTTCTCCTGCAACTGAGGAGCTACAAACACCATACCTATGTTGTTGCGGCCCGTTCAGCGGTCTAGCCACAAGGCGGCTGAGCAGGATTCAGTCGAGCACTTTCCACACACAACTCAGCAAGTTCCTGTCACCATAATTCGTGCAACCTTGCTTGCTCCTTTTGTCCTTGTACATTGGTAGCATAAGAGCATCCTTCATGTCAGCCGGCACTTCTTCAAACCACACACGTTTCGCCAAGTGGTACAGCATGTTTATCATAGCGGGTCCGCTATCTTACAATACTTCAAGCGGTATCCCATCGACTCCGGCGCAGTTACCGCCTCGTAGTTGTACACGTGCTTTCTGTGTCTCATCTTATGTGGGTGTGTCTGCGAGACGTATCCTCATCTCCTGCCATTGCAGCCCTTACGACCGTTAATCTCTTAACTGTTTTTCTAGAGACAGTCGAGTTACCTCCACAAAATATACATTATATCTTCTTCTGTATGCAGACAGCGCCTGAAGTAGCACTGAGCAGCTTCCTGATTGGTTGCAACGTAGATCCATACATCGTCTTCAAGTAGTCAAAGAATTCCTTAGGTTATCGACATTTCTTGTAGCGTGACATCTCCGCCTACCGCGCCTTCTTGTTGCGGCATAGCTGTCGAGTCTTTTGCCGTCAAGATTAACGCAAAGGAGTTCTTCTTTGCATCCGCAGGGTCGACCGCATGTACAGCGAATGCTATGTTCTTCTCTGACGCCATTGCGTTAATGGTAGCACTGTTGTGATTAAACCAATCGGGCTGCTAACAATTTGCGCGCCCGATTCCTTCCTCGGCCGTAGTAATCACCTATTTACGGCTGTGGCACCACAGGTCGCCGACTGATGCGACGCAGTCGACATCGCCAGTAGCGGGTAGCCAACGCCTTCTCCAACTCCTCGTCTCAGCATACCTAGGTACAGAACGCTAAGTTTGTGCCTATTCACGGCAGGTCAGCAATAGATGGATTGACGAAAATCTGCGTAAAATTTGGTGTGCACCAACTTGAGATCAGAGCCACACTCTTCTCCACGCATTACATGTGCCATGCGCACTTAACGCTTGTCAAACTGGCGTGCGACGAGGTTGTGGTGCAGGTGAGCTTCAGCACTCCGTGAGGGCATCCATGTAGGTATATCACTGAGGCCCAGTTCAAACTGCGTGTTCGTGATCCTCAGGCCGGGAGTGGCACGTAGTGAGAGCAGCCAGTCGCCGTTCCTATTGGCTGCACTATTATCATAGGAATCGTTTACTTCTATCCACCCCGCGGCAGCACACCTGACGCTCACATTGGATTCACCCGGTAATAATAGCTGGTGGAGCTTAGGCACAGACCGTGTCACGAAGGATAACCGAGTGTAAAACTGATCGCTCATCTTATCAGGATAACACATAGTTGAAACATACTTGCTAACGAAAGGGGAAAGTTTACCCCTTCGAATTCGCAGGCGAAGTATCATCAGTCGTGCGCTAATGCCAGTCGGCCGTACCATCAGCTGGCTATTTAAGCGATCGCATAGTGCAAATCCGACCCATGTTCACCTGGTGCTGAGCCGGCGTTTCCTACCTAGTAAAAAGTTTGCCCAGCATCAGCCTCAATCATCTTTTGCTCAGCGAGACGAGCCTCGCTGGGTACTACAACGGCGATCCCGTTGCGCATGAGTTCCGTCGCTACCAGTGCAGTTTGTCGCTCGGGACGCTCACTCGTATTTCGGTTGAGCAGTGTGCGCACGTTCCAGCACCCGATGTTGAGTGCTTTGCGCGGCGGCATACGATTCCGGTGGATAACATTCACACGCGCGGTCACTGGATTGGAGGAACCAGTGGGTTAGGTAAAACGGGGATGGGAAGACTATATGCAGAGGAAGAAGAAATAAGGGAGGCATCAGTGTTCGCTTGTCAACCCCACTGTATGCAGTGGATGATGCAACTCTTCCTACGGCTTCTGCGCAACGGCCGATGCAGCTTGGATTTATTATTAGTGGCGTGATTTATACTTGGGGTTGGACTAGAACACTGCCGGGACGTCCACAGCTGGCAGCTGAACGTCTCGGGTCCTCAGCTAAAGCCTTTGATAAAATGTACGCCCGAAAGGCAGTGGGCCGTGCGTCATTAGTCGATGAACCGACTCACACGGAATTATGCTCTGGATCTTAGCTAGAGGAGGTGTGTAACCGAACTCCAACCCAGCGGTCGCCACGAAGAGGCGTCCAAGGTATGAGTCCACGGTACAACATTGGGGAGATCGAGCCAACGATCGGTCGGGATCTACTCACCACGAGCCTCAGCTCACAGTGTGATAATCCCCATATTAACACGTTTTTGCTTCCAGTTGCACAGCGGAATTATTTAAGTTAGTTTGCTTTAGCACGATCTTGCGCAACGTTGCCCACTTTAAGTGACACACCTTTCACTCATTACAAATTTTAGCAACTGATGACAGCTCAGGTTGCTCATTGGGGCAGCGTTAAGCGCCCAAACAACTAATCCCGCTAAGTTATGAAGGCTCTTGCTCGCAACTGCCCAACGCACGTTTGCCAACGCATCGGTCTCTACAGCTACTTTGTAACGCAATCACGATATCACCACGATTGGTAAAGGAATGTTTGCGACGAAAGTGCAAAACTTGGTGAAGACCAATTGCTCCAACATTTTCAATCCACGCCTACTCAGTGGTGGTTCAATTCTTGTTCTTTATTTCCCCCTCAGTATACTCTTTGCCCCCATTGATGCGGTTACGTAAATGCACACCAGACAGACGACAGAACAGATCCCTCACATTGTTCCTTCGTACCAAAATTGCGTTTGTGCATTAACTATCTCATAGTGGCACACAAGTACTGGAGATATATCCCTAATGTGGTCCTACGGATCACTTATGATTACGCTTACCCATTCCTTCTCCCGAATCTCTCCTCTTAACGTGACTCAATCTAACTTCCGTCGCCAGTGCCAAATCTTTTGGACCAACCACGTTATAAATGAACATGTATGACGAGGCGATTCTGTGCACTCGTATTTTTCACCCTTAGGCATTTGAGAAGTCTGCTATTTCTTACGCTTTACACCTCTCTATGCTAAGTCAGAACATTCACTGGCCTTTTTACCTAATCAAGCGGTTTACCGTTGAAGCTTCCAACTCACCTGGTTCAGCGAAAGTGTAACTTCAGTTTTTATCCATCATACCTCGTTGGTCACTTACTTTTATGTCCCATACTGGTTTATATCCATTTTCACACAACGTAATACTTTGGCAGGAAGCTTTGAGTTACCGAGATCTGATTGAGGGAGCGTTTCTGATGCAGTTTGGGTCCAAGCCACTAGAGTCGAATCAAATCACTATGGCTCGTGAGGTCATTTTTCCATCACGTGAGTTCTTTCGTTTGATTGTGCAATGTGCACATTGGTTATATGAAAACCACTAAAAATTGTTATGTTTGAAGTATCCAACATCTCATTACTGTTTACTGTTAACCTGTTGCACTCTTTGTTCTTTACGATTGCTTTTTTCACTATGGTCTTTAAACTACCACATTTAGCTAACGCATTTATAGCCCCTTAATTGTTATTTTCAATACCGAGGCGGTTTACGTATTCTTCTGTTGTTCTGCTCTCTTATCAACAAGGGTTCTTGTAATTGCATTAAACTTGCGGCTATCCTATGTTGTTTAACTTTGCATTCCCACATCCATGGGAATGGTAATATGACTATGTTTCTTAATCGAATACACTTTCCCTATTTTCCAGAGACGAAAGCCATCTTCCAGAGATTGACAAATCAGCAGCCGACCTCGGCAATATGTTATTACCTCCAAGGACCGTTACAGTCCATACGAAATGACACCATCTTGAACTTGTTCTGCGAGATAGTCCACGAGCCGGCCTTCAATACTTTGCGTACTGAGCAACAGCTGGGTGCGTCCTTGTTCTATGGTTGTCTTTCTTCAACGATCGTTTCTTTTCTTCCCCCTTTATGCTGATTTGCGGCAGATACTAAACAGTTGTAGGGCTCAAACTTTTTCAGTTCAGCTGGTGATAATCTACCCGATATTAAAACCTATTACCCCGGTTTACTTTTATGCACTGTGTAGTCCACTCCAAACATTGTTTCCCATAGTCTTCCTACATGGTCTCCTTAAGCCTGCAGCTCATTTTAAGGCCGATGAGCGCTCGTCAACCTTTAAGTCATCTCTGTTAGTAGCGGTGACCATGGTATCGCCGCGCACCATTCAATTTGCACTTCTTGTACTTTTGTCACAACCTCACTCAGTGAAACAGCCACAACAGTGTCCTATTGTTTTACTTCCCTGGTGTTTGTCAGTGATATACGTTCCAGTTGTATCCCTCTGGACTCCTGCCCACCATCCCCGTTACTACATATACTCAGTGACTTGTGTTGCTGGACCACGGGTGACGGTGTTGGCTGGTGGGCAGATTCATTATGATATCCTGCATCTCAGCCCCAGTTATCTTACGCTTCACATGGTACATTTCTGACCACTTCTTTTGGTTTTCCATATGAATCGATTGCGATGAAATGCTTCCAGCTGGCCCGCCTTCACTTCGCTCATTGTCTTTTGCTTGCCACATTTGGAATGACATAGCTATATTTACTACTTGTCTTAACTAACCGCTGCATTGCAGAGCTGGCACCGCATTGTCTATCTCTCCGAACTTTCGATGACTACGGTATCATGCATTACTGAACTAACTTATCACCCCTGCAATCCATCCCAGCCGTCTGAGCGTTCGCAATCAAGCTGTCCATTGAATCGGTCACTCAGGCGTGGACCGCGTGTGGGACGGGTATAGAAGGGCACTCAACAAACATCACTGCGGTGCATAGTCTCATCGGTGCACCACATTTTTACCCAATGACATCTCTTAATGTTTTGTTTATTGTTGACTCATAAAAACCCGCTGACTAGCAGACTGTCAAACCATTCCGGTTTCTTTGAACTCCAATTGTCAATTGGCAACAGCTCTGGCACTATGGACTATTATGGACACATTCCAAAAACCTCCCTTTTTACGCAGTGCGGAGGAGGAGCAGACGGTGTTTAGTTAACGCCTTCGTGTTCGTCTTTCAATTAATCTTCTAATCAAATCGACCGATACACTACACAACCATCCTTTAAATTTGTTAGTAGCTTTACTTAGCCGGTCACATTCCACCTTTCACTGCAAGTTATCTTAGGTGAGTGTTTCATATTGTTTCTTTCATCACTACTACCGACTGTCACTCAATCTTAGGTTCCAGTTGTCGTCTTCGGAGCCACGTCAGTTGCACCAAGCTTCTCCTTGGTAACTGAGTTCACACGGTCCCCATAAGATGAATTCTAACTTCTAGTCACCAAATCGTTCCACCAAGATTCACAAACGTCAGGGAATTGTTGGGCCTTACTACATGCTATTGTCTGTTGAGCCATAGCAGAGTTACGGGACCTTAGTATTGATTTTCGCCCTGTCAGCCACTTTTCAGTTTTCCTTCTAATGACTCCTCCGGCATGCAGTTTAGTCGAATTTGTTCATTTCTCCTCCTAGCCAACAAAGCGAGTACCTATTTGAGCCTGTAATGAGATATCGTGTAATCTCATTGCATCAGCATTTCGGCTCACATCTCAGACTCAGAAAGCAGCCCTCAGTCACATCGTCTCATCACAGTGGTTTACTTCCGCTCTCTCGTACTGCCGTAGGGTACCTGGTTTACACCGGAGCACGCCGATCGAATACACTTCAGGGATTCCGTTGCATTATTCAATCGACAGCACGTCCAGATGAGCTGGAGAAATCAATTGAGAACTTTTTGCTATCCGTCAGAGTGAGTTTTGTTTCAACGAAACGTTGCCCAAATATGCCAACCGATTGTTTCTAAGCCATTGTGAACTCATGGCTTCTCGGTCGTTTTCAAATATAATCCACGATTTCAAGCTCATTTTTATTTTTGGCTTGCTGCCAAATCTGGCACATTCCAATGAAACGCGTACTGATTCTATTATAACATCTTCCCCAAATCTCCATCATTGTGTTGAACTATTTCTCATTCTGTCTTGTTCGTCCAGGACTTATTGCTGTTCATGAGTCCAGAAGAATATGACATGCATGTGGATTCCCTTACCTCACGATTGCTGGAGAAACCAAAGAGCATGTCTGAGAAGAATTCACGTCTATGGTCCGAAATAGCATGCCATCACTACAACTTCCAACGGCGTATGTCTTTGCCTTTTTATGCTGAATATGCCCAAGAGCGTCCATTCATCCTCTCCATCTGTCCACCTATAATTAATTGCTCAGGCACCTCTAAAGGTTTTCATTCCGATCTAGCTTTTGCTTTGATGCTTCCAATTTGTCCTAGTGTAGGAGGCACGAAGCAGCTGGAAAACGTAAGCTTCATTGCAAGCAACCATGAGTAACTCCGTTGTCCTGCACGCGCGCATATATCGGTCATGTTTCCATCCTACCACGCAACATACATGGGGAATTACTACATGTCACCTTCGTGCGTCGTTTCATCCTAATTTGAGGACAGTTTGGCTGCCTGTCTGACCCCGTACCTTCGTTTCGATAACTCACATTCTGATTAGCCGGGACTTGTTCTAATGCTCTTTTTTGATTTCCTTGGTGTTGATTGCATTATGCCGCTCCTGGATGCACCGACAAAGGCCTTCCTATCTGTTTTATTGGCTTTTCGACAAATACCTTTGTTCTCCCTAGCACAAGTCTATTCCCATTCGTCGCTCGCAAGCCGCTCTCCGCTCATTTAGAGGGGGGGCTTGCTTTGCGCTGTCTTGTCTATTCTACATATGAAAAGCACGGTAAGAAGACGAAAACTGGTAGATGCATGTATTTCGTATTGTCTCCTCAGTACCATTAACAATAACCGTTATGCAACTATATACTTAAATCTGCGTGTGACCGAATAAGCACGAGGTGTAAAATGAATGACGGAAGTTCCACCCCTATGTCCACGGCACTCTTAAGGTGATAAATAATTGCTTTTGAACACACAGGGCCGGCTTCATCCGGCTTATCGCAACGGCCTCGGCGAAACGGCGGAAGCGGGGATTAGGGTGACGTAATACAAGTGTGAACGCTGATCCGAGCTCTATCCGGTGACGCGTAGTCAGTAGGTGTTTACTTATTGAAGAAGCTAGCGGCTTGCGCAAGCACGGAACTTCAGTGGGACAGGGATGCTGGTCAATTTCACGTTGAACCCATCTTGGCACGTGTTCCTTTATTCGGGAAGTCAAAGACCGATTGGATCTGCCTATGTAACTGTCTTCGCAGTCGCATACGAATTTGTATATGCAGTGTGAGTTGGCCCCTATCGGTTGAGCTTCCTTCGTTGGAGGCACCGGCAAGTTACAGGTTCTATTAATGACCACAACCTGAGCAGCACAGTAACTTCTCTGCGTAACAGAGATTAAACGCTTCGTGGTTTTCAATACAGTAAAGTCACCCTTGAATGGCAACTCGATATAGATCTTTTTCTTGGCTGCCGTATGCACCAAGTCTTTCGGGTCTCCCTGTTGGCTGTGTCTCTCTATAAATCTACGTGGATAACCATTTGCAACCAGTGTTGTTGGACATAGGGGTGGAACTTCCGTCATTCATTTTACACCTCGTGCTTATTCGGTCACACGCAGATTTAAGTATATAGTTGCATAACGGTTATTGTTAATGGTACTGAGGAGACAATACGAAATGCATGCATCTACCAGTTTTCGTATTCTACATATGACTGTTTGCGTTCTCGCTCGTTCTACTGGATTTCCTGTCTTCCGCATGATCACTATCTCCCGTGCCACTACAATAGGGAAATCCTACAAATTTGCTCTCTGTTTCAAAGGAACAACAATACACGTAAACAATCCAAGACTTGACAAAACTCGTGGGATGGTCTCTGTGAGATGCATAAGTTAAAAAAGGTGCCAGAAAATGCACCGCGCATCTATGGACTCACAATAATCTCCACGTTAACACACGAGTATTTCCGTCGACTCAGATTTCGTGGGTATTAGTGAACACAATGTATGTCTACATCTTATCGTCACTCTGTGAGCGGAATTCACGTCACATAGAGCAGTTGGTGTAATGCACCTTCGAGTTGTTTAAAAAACTTGTAGCATGGGCCGGAAATAACACAACCCAAAAGGGTTCCGCGGCCGACAAATTCTGAGGGAAGGTTTTCCGGTCTCATTCCAGCCGACTCTATTGGGTGACCAGTCTCAGCTGATGTCCCCTCAGTTCTGTGTTGCGGCTAACTTTCAGGAGGTGGCGGAACACATGATTGAGGTTTTCAAAGTCTTATCCATCAGAATGAAGTCACTCAGTACTCGGCGATAACTTCCGCTGTACATTCCTAGAGCTGTTGGCTGCAGGTTGTATGATAAGCGGAGCAAGCTCTTCTCATCTTTAGTTGCCCTTCGTTGTGTGGTATCCAGTGCAGCCAAATCGCGTTTTAGGCACGGCTGTCAGTTCCGAATCGCGTACTGCACATGAAGCCGCAAATATGCACTGGGCATTTTGGGGAAGATAAAAGGGTCGAACCGCTTGACGGTTTGCTTCGAACAGCTAAGGTTACCTTGAATCACCACCCCAAGGATGTGCTCCTAGGAAACGGTCTACGAGATGTGGTCATCCTGCCTATATATGTTTTATTATCGGGCGTGTGACGTGTAGGTGCTGTCTCACACTTTTCCGCGTGGAACCGAGGTTGATTCTTATATGAACATTTTAACGCACGGTCTGGGTCTCCTTACAGCAGATCGTGATCCTCTTGATTACCACTCTCCCACTATACCTTACTGTCGTCAGAAATATCAAGAAATTCGACACAGTGATTTACGTCAGATCGTTAGTAAAGACTAGGAATAAGTTTGGCCCCAACATATTGTGAAACACCTCAGTTCACTTCGGTAGGACCAGCAAATAAACGCCAAACATGAAGCCGCTGGTGCAGGAGGATGTTTCCGATTCATCCAAATGCAGTGTTCTCAATTCCGTACATCTATAGCTTTAGAAGAGTGATAGGGTGATCGAAACTGTCGAAAGCTTTAGAAACGTCGAGATAGATGACGCTAGTGTCTATCCTAATATCGGCTGTTTTCTTCCAATCGCCATGTGCAATCAGTAGATTGGTAGTACATGACCGATGCTGACGGAATCCTTGTTGCTTCATCGCTATGATGTTTGATTATGTTTTACGGCCCATTAGAGCCTATGGTATGATAGAATCCAACACCGTTGATAATACCTGGAGAAGAATCACTAAGTGATAGTTGGTGGACTCGGAAAGTCTACCACCCTTGAAACTCGGGTTAAATGCACTATGCTTCCACACGTTAGGGACCTTCTGTTCATCTAGACATCATTGGAAAAATTGGGTTAATTGCTCAGATATCCTCGTAGCTTCCACCTTCAATGGTTTTGAGTGGATGCTATCAACTGCACGGGAACTACGAGTGAGCAACGATAGCAGCTTCCTCAAAACGGTCTCTGCATTAGAAGTGATGTGGGTAAATACTGGCGTCTGGAGGAATGGGACAGGTATGTGGAATCTGCTGCTAGCGCGTCGAAATTTTGGAGGTGTAGAACATTGATTGCATTCACGGCGGTTTGAGCACCTCAATTTGCTGAGGCAAGTGGGGGAACGCCAAGCTTCACACCCAGGAGACTGTTCACATGTTTGTACAGCAGCTTGTTGTTAGTAAAGAACCATTCCACCAGGTTCTGCTGGTGTACTCATTTGTCCTCACAAACAAGTGTGTTACAGGGATTATGCCGCCCTACTTAGTTGCTCCAGTTGTCACGACTAGAGTTTCCTCTATACACCTGCCACGCTGCATCGCTTGTCGCCATGCGTTTTCGAGTTCTAGTCCGAATGAATGATGGCGCTCTTGCAGAAGAAAGAGTTATGGATTCCGATGCTGCTTTAATCAGATCATTGAATTTGCTAGCAAACTCCGTCCAGTCAGTATCAATAGATCAGTCGTTCGAAAACTCCCAGCTGGCATCTCCAACAAGTTTACTTAGTATGTCGTATTCCTTGATTGTACCCGATCAAGTCAATATGCTCTTGTGGAAACTCCACATAACCCACTTGATCCTAAAGTATTGTTACGTGGTCATCCAGCCCGAGCGCTCTTCATCGTTGGCCTCTTGATCGTGCGCTCTTCATTCGTGATACTAAAGCAAGCACCGATGGTTTATTTCCTGCTCTGAATCGGGTGGGGGAACTGACATGGATGAAGAGCGGAATGTTTGCAATAATCCTAGATAGTCTGGGAGAAATGGTTGAAAACCACATCACTAGTCACCGAAGCATCACATGAAACAAACATTATTCGTGAGAAGTCAAATATGAAGTTTTATGGCCTTGGAGAAACACATGGCGCCTTCAGGTAAACAATCTTGACATGGAGAATGAGACAGGGTACGTAGCTCTGGGCAATTACTATGTACAGTTGGTTTGTGAAAACAAGTTATCACACCGACTGGAGCTAGCGGAACAATTCTGTTGGAACCACAGCCACGTGACACGTGAATGCACTTCGAAACTTTCAGGGTGGAATCGCACCACTCAGTACGATTGGGGGGTATACACACACAACAACAAAAGGCGGACAACACCTCATTGCCCACTACCGGCCTACTTTCCAAGGGGTACTAGCCTCAAACCTTATACTTGCTTCTGTCCCCACATCATCAGTGTTATCCAGCATCAAATTCATAACAAAAATGCTTCTGAAAAACCCACTATCCTTGCGTACACACAGCTTTCCTAGAGTGGATAACCTTAACCCTGAAGCACTGCAGGCAGCAGTCATTCACCTAGACCCGCCACTTGCCGGATTCTTTCATAGAAGTCCGTCTGATCCTACCAATTACCGTCTGGTAACACTTCTCTCTGCCCTTTCCAAACGCATGGAAGCGATCATCGCTGACGTAATGATAGGCTACTTGGAAAACTTAGGCGATGCATTATTAGGATGGGTTGTTAATTTTCTCCGTGAACAGCAGTTCTATGTTAGAGACCGAACATCTCTGCCCGACTCTAATCAAATGGAGTGCGACGATCTTGTGTGAGCTAACAACTCAAAAGTTTTACTTTTCCGAATGACGTTAAAAGTTGCCCGGGGACCAAGAGAATGGACGACCGCAAGATCCTCCATGTGCGACCTAGATAGGACCTGGCATTGACCGGTGAG